ATCTGAGCCCTGGCCTGACCTATGTTTATAACTTGCATTATCTTCATTACATATACAATGTAACTACAAAAAAAAGTCATTTGAAACACAACAAATTATTTTTTTCTTAAATTCCAAGGATGAAGATGTTTGGTGATAAAGCTTTCAGCGGAAGATTATTAATGTTTCTATCTTAAGTCAGAATTACCATTCAGCATTCTAATTTCCTCTTATTCTCATTTTTTTAGAAAGTTTTTTCGATGTCTTTAAATCTATTCCAAAATATTTTACATAGGAAAACTTAGCATGCTTTTAAAAAGTGGTATTTAATGCAACCAAAATCAGGCTAGATAAACTTCTCTTAAAAGTCTCAAGTCATTAAAAATTCGGGCTGAAAGTTCATTAGAAAATAGGTTTGGGAACTGTCCAATCCAGATCAATTTTAGAATATTTTGAGTTGTCCATGTATCAAAACAATGTCTGCTTTGATAAAGCACTAGACTGAGATTATTAGATTTTTGGATCAGGTGACCTTGGCAGGATTATATCCACTGCTTTGCAAATTAATATTAATGCCATTATTATGGACTCAGCTAAGTCACAGTGATTAATGTCACTAAGACCTACACCAGCAAGACCCTCAGAGTCTTGTCCCAGACAAACACCTTGCAGAGACATCAGGTCTCACCCCACTTCTTACCTCAACAATTCTGGCACTGCTGTACCTGGGTTTCAATGCGCAAGGGCAATCTTGTACATGTTTTCTTTGTTTATTCTTGTTTTTTTAGCAACATAGTAAGACCACTTCCAGCTGCTGCATTAGCAGTGCTTCTAGTTATATTTAATAGTCACGGGAATGTTAGGATGTTATATATCTTCTTCAGTAAATCTTAGAAAGTAAGGTTTTGTTGTTGTTGTTTTATTTTCCAGGAGTTTGTCCATTACGTTTAGTTTTCATATTTCCCGCATAAAGCTTCTCATGGTGACTTCTTGTTTTTATGTCAACATCTGTGCCATCAATTCATTCTTATTACTATTTTGTGCCCCCCTCTCTCTTTTTGACCAATATCAGTACAATTCTTTTCTTTTTAGTTCTATTTTCAAAACTATCTATAGCTCATCAGCAGTTCAGTCATTCAGGCTTTGGCAGTATGTCATTGTTCATGGGAAAAGTCATAGTGATACCAGTTGGATGTACAGTCATGATGTATGTATTCATGTGGTTATGATTATATATTCAGCGCCTACAGCATAGTAAACCCTTAAATATAGTTCATTTTCTTAACAGCCTAGAAAACCCCATTTTTAATATGATTAATGTTTGGGAACATACAAAACATTTGGTCTAAGTGTCAAAAATTGCTTACAATATTATTTTTAAGAAATCACTGTGTGTTTGCTCAAAACCATATTAAGAAATAAAATAAAACATCATCCCTAGCTACCCCCCAAACCTCTGTCCCTGCTAATGAATGGAAGCAACAGTGTTAAATTCTCTTTTATAACACATAATATAATATAACATACATCGCTAATATTCATTAAAATATTTCTAGAATTCTTTAAAAAAGATATGGCTATGTCTTCAAATACATTCTTTCATATATATATATATATTATACTATGTATGTATGATGTATATTCCTTCTAATCTTTCTTCTGACTTTACTTAGATCTGTGGCTATTTGATAAATTGTCAGACACAAAATTTTAAACAACATTAAGAAATAAAATCATCTTTTAAAAGTCATAAAATAAATCAATCAGCTATAGACTCGCTTGTTGCTAACAGTTTCTAACAATGAGATTTGTCACAAGAAGGCTTCTACTAGTTCACTCTTCATGGCATATGACTCAGAGCATCTTTGTACCAAGCATAATGTAAAAATAAAATTATTCAGTTTGGGGGCCTGAATAATGAGATGACTCCAAGGCTAATAGCATGTCTTACTCTTGCAGAGGACCCCAGTTCAGTTTCGAGCACCCAGAGTGCCTCACAGCAGTCCATATCTCCAGTTCCAAAGGATCAGATCTTTTTTCTGGTCTTCATAAGCACAAGGCACATAATAGCACAAAAACACACAGACAGGAAAGCACTCATACATATAACATAAAAAAAATATTTTTTTTAAATACTCAGTTCTTTAAAAATAGTCCTCAGGGAGAAGATTAAAAATACATAACAGACTCTAGGACTTAAATATCTTCTCTGTTTAATCTCATTCCCTAGTCCTTCCATCGTTTATCTGTTAATGAACTTCGAATTATCCGTGTGTGGAGAGGAATCATGAGATGAGGGGCTGTGTGGGGGACCCACGATTGTGAAGACTTCATCAACTATTAACCAACTGACAAGAAGATACTGGCTCCCTTGTACTTTCTCCTCTTCAACATGAAACTAAAATTTAAATATTTAGGTATAATATTACCATATACTTATTTTGCTCAGAATAAAATTCAGTGAATCAAGTGGCAATAAAATCTTGGTGAAGGGTGGCTCTTTGTTGCAGGGTATGTTATAGACTATTTCCTTAAGTGCCAAGAATCATGTCTAGAGGGCAGAGATACTCCTAGATGACCCACAAAGAAGTCAATGTAACACTCACTTCGGATCTAATAATCTGACTGAAGATGCATACCTTCCAACTTGTCAATAAAGGCTCCTATCAAAGATAGACAAGGGCAAGTGAAACATGATTGGAGTTTGGGTCTCTTCCCAAGTCTATAACAAGGCTTCATGGATGCTGAAATAAGTCTATCGATCTCATGTTTCACCAAATATAGGTTCCACGGAAAAGAACTATAAAAATGTTTCCTCCCAACTTTATGTGTTCTAGTGCTTAAATAAAATGTCTTAGTACATAAGGGAAGCTGCACATGAAAATAACAAGAGGCAAAAACAAACTCAAGTCTGAAATAGACAGGTCCACCTGAGCTGTAATTTATGGAGCCCTGGAAAGAGCCAAATGACTGAGCAGCCACTGTGGCAGCCATGAATCAATTATGTCTCTAGTTCACTGCTGTGCTGGCTGGTCTTACGTCAACCTGACACAAAGTAGAGTTACCAAAAAGGAGGGAATCTCAACTGAGAAAATGCCTCCATAAGATCCATCTGTAGGGCATTTTCTTAATTAGTGATTGATCGGGTGGCAGCCCATTGCGGGTGGTGCCATCCCTGGGCTGGTGGTCCTGGGTTCTGTAAGAAAGCAGACTGAGCAAGCCAGTAAGCAGCACCCCTCCATGGCCTCTACATCAGCCCCTGCCTCCAGGTTTCTGCCCCGTGTGAGTTCCTGCCCTGGCTTTCTTCAGTAACAGACTACAACACAGAAGTATAAGCCCAATAAACCCTTTCCTCCACAACTTGCTTTTTGGTGTTTCTTTGCAGCAATAGAAATCCTAAGACATGTTCAACCATGAAGACAATAGTGGGTCCTAGTTATTCCTTCATAATTTGCCCATGCTTCTATTCCTGTTATGAGTACAGAACTAGACAAAAACAAAAAACCCTCAAAACTACATATACTTACTCATACCTGGTGTGCTTGACTTTGTTTTAACAATACATATTTATATGGTTTAAATAATGTTAGTAATATGAGATAAAATAGCTTAATAAATTAGAAAACATTCAATGAATTACTTCTAAAATAGAACTAGCAAACGTGGGAAGCAATAGTTTGCAAAGCCAGTATTTTAAACTTAACAATGTTTTCAGCCAGTCTATTGATATTTTCATTAATTTTTACAGTATTCTTTTCACACTCTTTCATGTCCCACATGCCTATTATAATTATATTATATTATTATATAAGTTATATAATAATATAATATATAATAATTAGACCACATTATAATTAAAATGTGGTCTAGCCTAACGTCCTTTCTAAAGTCAGAAAAAGGCCCTAAGCATGACAGCAGCTGCCACTCATCAACTGCCTCCCCTTGACAAGGAAGGACTTTCTCCATAGAACTTGAGCATGTGGCCTGACTCAGTGCTTCTGCCATTCTGTTCCCATGTAAAATCAGCCATCTTGTAAGTCATACCCTTCCTTTAAGGTCTAGTCCAGATTTAACACTTCAAGAAGTTTTATCTTAATCTCTGCCCCCGGCTCTCAAAAACCAACTCTGAAGTAATTGTTGTGTCTCAAAACTCTCATGGCCCTTGGTTCTTACTTTACTTTGCTACACTTTGTTTTTCAATGAATAAAGAGTAGATTCCGTCAGAAAAATGCATCAGCTCAGAAAAGCTGTGCAAGAACATCATTGTAAATATTTACCACTCACTCGTAATGACAAATGCTCTCACTGCACACTCTGCTAGCCTTTTCTTCCGCTATGTGTAGACTCATGTTGATGGGATTCTAAAAGGAAGTCTACAGCTCCTGTCACAACCATTAACTAGGTTCTGTCTTGTGTTTTTCCACTGAAGTCCCTGTGGCAGGAACAGCAAGACAAATTTCTTCTTCTAAATAAGATCAGTTCTGTAAAATAGGAGAAATGGTGGTGATCGTGACTTCTGTCATTATTTTTATACGTGTCTTCTTCGTTAACTCAACCCCTAACTACTCTCCAGCCACTTCGAGGGATTTCCCTTGGGTACCTCTGCAGGTCCCTGCACTTCTCTAAACCAGTCCTCTGACATGGTCTGCTCATTCAGTGAAGTGACTTCTGGTGACTATTGGTCAATCATGAAGTCGTGTTTCATTCATTCACAGTAGCATAGCATGCCTACTTCCAAGACCTGACTTTGCAGTGTGGGAGCTTTAAATGACAGTTAGAAAAACCACACAGTTTTGTGCATGTGTGATAATTACAGCTGCAATGGTTTGATATGCAGTTTGTATAATTTAGTCCCTTTAAGGAAAAGACCATATATCGGGCAGTGGTGGCCCACAGCTTTAATCGCAGCTCTCGGGAAGCAGGGGCAGGCAGATCTCCATAAGTCTGAGGCCAGCCTGGTCTACATGAGCAAGTTCCAGAACAGCCACAGAGGTTACACAGGAAGACCCTATCTCAATAAACTAAAAAAAAAAAAAAAAAAAAAAAAAAGAAGGAAGGAAGGAAAGAAGAAAAGAAAAGAGCATATAAAGCGTATACAGGCCATTGCTGTAACTTCTGCTTGTCTTATTCTGCTTGTCTTAGAGCAGAGACATGTAGTATACAAGAAGACCTGTTGAAACCTCACCTTCTCGCCATGTGAGAGGAAAACTAGAGGCAGACAGAATGGTCTCCAAAGATGTGCCAATGCCTAAAGAAATGATCAAATAAGTGCAAAAAAGCCAACTACGTCCCACATCAATATGTTCCAAATGCTCTAAAATCTGTTTGTAAAACACACAACTGATTCATTTCAAAAGGATTGTAGAATACTTAAGGACAGTTGGGAAAGTGATTACCTGTGATAAAACAACTTTTATCACCAATAAATTTAGCTTGTTTTCATACTGGAGACATTTAAGACCTTTCATGAACTGTCATGTTTAAATAACCAACATATATACTGTTCTGATTGCTTTTCCCCACAAGCATCTCTTTTCTTTTTGTCCTCAGTCTTGACATCCATAGTTTTAGACATTTTAGTCATTTTTACAAGCACAGCACTCAAGGTTTATGAAAAATGACTCTGTCTCCAGGCAGGTCTCCGAAGCAGGTCAAACACATGGCTACAAGAAATCTACCACTGCTTCAAAATGTTTTTTGAAAAACGTGAAAACTTGCTTACAGTTAGCACATGATAACTAAACCTATTATTACCCTGCTACTGGTGAAATGATAAACTCTACCTTCCTCAAATGTGTTTTCTGCTTGTTTCTCTACAGGAGTGCTCCCTGTAACAGCAGGATAGCAAGAGAGTATTCTTGCTGATCTTTCTGATCATCCTACAATACAGTCTTAGCTACTCTTTCTAAATGAAGTGTGTATCAAAAAATCAGTGACATTGCATTTCTTTCAGATAAGGGAAAATCATTTTCTGTGCCTTAGCTAGACGATTTACTGATACATTTTCAAGCAAAGGGGGTAAGAAAGGACATGTGCCTATTCAGTGCCATCCAGGGCCAAGCACATAATATACCTTAGTTCTTTTCATCTTCAGAATAACACTAGTTATTACACTCAATACACAAGAAACCTAAGCCTCAAAGAACGTTAAGTATCTTAGATGATTCACACAATGTTTGGAGGAAATGAGACTTTGACCTAAGTCTATCTTCCTGCAATCTCATTGTCTACCCCTTAGATCTTCATGCCTTTCTCCAGGGTGGTCTCCGGCAAATTCCACCCAAATTTAATCTAAGCCCATTGTTATGCAAAGGTCAAAGCCTGTCTCTGTTCAGGTAGTAAATCCCAGACTAAGCCCATTCGTGCCCAGCACTAGCTGCCTCTTTAACCTGGAGATTCGCCACAATAACAGTCCCTCTGGAGGCTAGCCAGGTCTTTAGTCTGCCTGGCACCCTGTGCAGTGACTCAGGTCAGACTACAGCAGCTCCAATCAAACCCTTTTAAACAGGACCTCAAAAACGTCAATGCCTAAAGCACTATTGTTCTCAAATGACCTTGTATGGGGGCCAAGACCACTCGCATCTATTAAAAAAGAAGCGGTGTAAGATGGGAAAGTCATGTGGACAGGCTTCACTGTTTTCAGAATTTAAAAATAATTTTTTAAATGTTCATTGTTTGTTTTTACAGCCTTACCAACTGACTCTGGGATAACCTGGTGAATGGAAGTACTCCTTCAAATCTTGCTTCTTCCTCTTCTGAAGGAAAATAAAAGCTAAGCCTTCAGTGAAGTCGCCCTCTGAAGGCCAACAGGAAGCGTTTGTTTTGTCTTATGTGTGAAATCAGAGCTAGCATCCCAAAGAACTTGTTGTCCCCATGAAAAATGAAAAAGATCATGGCAAACAGCCGGAGAGAACTGATAGCATGTTGCCCTGTGTGCATTCCTTACAGGCCCCTTGCGTTGCTCATTTCAGAAGGAGAAAACATTTCCTGCCTCGGTGCATAACAGAGGAAGACAACTGGTCTGGAATGACCTCAGAAGGTTCTGGCAGTTTTCCAAAGATCTTAAGCAGAATTTTGTCAAAGTTTCCATCAACTCAATGAACCCTTGCAGTATGATGTGGAATACTTCTGCATTCCAGAAGAGGAAATGATGGTTGCATTAGAACAGTGTTTCTCAAACTGTGGGTCGCAACCTCTTTGGGGTTGAAGAATGATTTTACAGAGTCACCTAGGACTATCAAAAAACATATATACCTACATTACAATTCATAACAGTAGCAAAATTACAGTTATGAAGTAGCAGTGAAAATAATGTAATGGTTGGGGGTCACCACAACATGAGGAACTGTATTAAAGGGTCGCGGTATTAGGAGGGTTAAGAACCCACTGCCATACAGTGTTCTCTGTAAGGCACTTTTGCAACCACTGGAAAAATCTTCACCAGTGATGCAAAAAAGAGTATCAGAATTTTTGGTATGTTTCTCCAGTCTTCTTTGCTCCTATCCAACTATAATTTTTTTGAAGGGAGGCAGTAATTTACTAATGTACATCATCCTGTAGAATTTATGGAAGCCCTTAAATGAACGAACAATAATAGATAACGTTATTCAAGCACTGGAGATATCGAGGCATTTGGTCTAGAGGTGTTTCTTGAACGTTCGTGGCATTAAGCTCAGAATGGAGCAAATATGCAGTCACCCTCTTTATGGAGCTGTTGGTCTATTCCTTATTCTATGAACCAGAAGTACCAGGGAAGTTTTAACATAGATCATGGATCAGACCACCATCCCCCTCCCCACAACATTCCTTCAAGTTGCCTGATTTGGATGGAGATGGATGTGCACAACAAAACTCTGAATTACAAGAGAATGTGACAAATGACAGTGCAAACAAGACATTTCCCACACGGGCAAATGCTATCAGGACTTCACGCTAAATAGTATCTTTTAAATGATAAATTAGCCTAAGAAACAAAAGTAGATTCTGGGTAAAAGGAGTATGGAATTCAGAGGGAGAGAGGCCCGTTTCTGAAGCCAGTCAATGGTGGCTCCTTGATGGAACTGAGCTTGCTTGAGGATCCAGGCTCAGGGAAGGGAACGCATCTAGGATACTGGGTAGGTGGATAAGGACCACAGAAAGAAAATGCACTGCTCTTGCTGGGTGGTGGGCAAAATTTACTCCTGAAATAAAGTTTTGTAAAAAAAAAAAAAAAAAATTTACACAGAGACCAAGTGTGATCTTAATCATTCTTTTACCTTCATTTGCTTGTTTGCTTGAGTCCCAACGTATTTCCTCAGGCAGGGTCGTAAGTTTTGAATCCCTGGTTATTACATATCCTCCGCTACCAATGTAATAAGCCAATCAAGCTAAATCCGTAAGACCAGGTTTAATGAGCAGAGCAAAGCAACTCCTGGGTGACTCTCAAGAGGGCAGGAGAGGAATCATGTGGCAAATACGTCAACCAGGTCTTAAGCAGCCTGTAGATGTGGTCTTGAACAGCCCCGGGAAGGCTGATTCTTGGTGGGCTTCCGGAGGGGAGGGGTTTAGAGAGGGCAGCTCCAGGAGATATCTTCAACATCCCAATCTTTTGGGGTATATATGGACACCAGTTGGGCTTCCACCTAAACAAAGGGCAAAAAGAAGGAAGGGGGCCACATGTGTGACAAAATAATGAGGAAATAGAAAAGGAAGGAAGTACCCAGTTAGAGAAAACTGACCATGAAATACGTGCCCAATGACACAATCCTCAAAGTCCAAAGGGGGCTAGTCTCTTGCAGTTCAGGAAAGAGAAGAGTTCAGGGAAAGAACAGACAGGGACATGCCTTTTCTTCCCCAGAAATTCAGATTTCTCATAATGTTTTGCTTTCCAGCAGCAAACATGGAGTTACCTTTGTCAGTCTCCAAGGGAACCACCCTGTGGCACTTTGACCTAAATCTCTAGCACCCCAGTGACTTGAACATACATTTATAGTCCCTGTTCTGGTCTCTGGACTCTACTTTCTACATGGAAAACCCATTCTTTTAGTTTGTTTCTACTCTCAGGCGCGCGCGCACGCGCGCGCACACACACACACACACACACACACACACACACACACACACATTTTGTAGATCCTTAAGCAACAATATCAGAATTCCCTCAAATTACACAATCTCTTAATTCCTGAGGAGAGGGTCAATATTTGATCTTCCAAAGCTATTGGTCATTAGTCTAGTTAAACTTGTACCTAGCTTTCTTGGTGTGTTTCAATAAAGTCAGTCACTTGCAACTTTCCCCAGCCCAAATCCTGAAACCTGAATGATGCTGAAGACACGTAAAGCCTTGTCCCCATGAAGAGGGGAAAACTCTGGGGTCATGGAGGAACAATTTGAGCTTTGTGCACCAGATGCTAATGGAAAAAGGAACTGAGTATTCCAAAATTGACTTTAAAGCATTCTGTGTGCTTACTTACCTGATAAGGCAAGAAAGGATCACATGTTTTTTCTGGGAACTGATGGTAATTTAAACTTTTTTTCAGACTGTCCTATAATCACCCTCCAGTTTTCATGAATTCTGAAACATGTTTTTGTTATTTATAACCCATTTTCCCCCACTATTCATAAACCAGTGAAAGAAACAGTGCTTACAAATGAGTGAAAACCCAAGCACAGTACCCACTTGTTTGACTCAGTATTTTGATTTGATTTAAAAATCAATAATTTATTTTAACTAAATGACAGACATTTCGTCCCCATGTACAAAGAACTCAGAAATTCCACCCTCCCCTCCCACATCCCGTTTGGTCACAAAGATAATGGCGCCATTGACAAGCACTGTTTCCAGTTCCTGTCAAGGGTCATTTCAGAAAGACAGCTCAAGCAAAGGCCTCACACTATTATTTTTAATTTAAAACATTTGAAAATAAATAAGTAGCTGTTGGCCTCAAGGGTCCCCTTGTTTTTGCAAATGGAAACCTTGGGAGGCAGCAGTTCGTGCTGGTGAGGCATCAGCTGGGTCCGATCAAGAAGGACGAAGGAGAAGAACTCAAACCTGCGGTCCTGTCCTCTGGAACTCCCAGCTGGAGGGCGGCTCTGCCCTCGATCGGTTTTCCTTTCTCAGCTGCTTCCAATGTTTGGAAAGTTCCTCACACGGACATCGGCTGTGTCTGTAATTGTTGGTGCACACTACCCAGATCTGGATGGTGACTTCCTATTGAATGGAGTGGCATCGTGGTAGAGTGGTCAGTGCTTTGGAACCACACTTGACTTGGAATTCTACCTCTGACACAGCAAGTGGCTTGAGCCTCCTGAATTGTTTCCTTAATGATAATTGTAAACACAGTGCCTCCTGTTGTTGGTGTTGAATGCAGCTACGATAACAGAGGTGTGCATACAACAAGTACATAAAAATACATTCCCTTGTCCCATCTCATTGTTCATCCATATACCTAGTATTTTCATTCATTGGATTAATTAACTCCAACCAATGTTGTCTGCATACACAATGAACCAATACTTTGGAAGACGCAGTAAGTACACTGAGCTTTAGAGGAGACACATTCCTTTTTTACCTCCTTCTCCTAAAAGCCTGGGAGTGCAAGTTTACACCCCCACCCCTACACTTGTGAATCACTCACTCTGGCTCTAGATAGAAACACCAAGCAGAGCCAGGCACTACCAGTTCAAGCACAGCTTTGTCTAGAGCAGTGATTCTCAACCTTCCTAATGCTGCAATCCTTTAATACAGTTCCTCATGTTGTGTGCAGTGACCCCTCACCATGAAATTATTTTTGTTGCTACTTCATAACTGTAATTTTGCTACTATTATGAATTGTAATGTAAATATTTGATATGCAGAATATCTGATCAGCAACCCCTGTGAGAGGGAGGTCTAATCCCACAGAGGAGTCACGACCCACAGGTTGAAAACCAATTGTCTAGTGCTTCCCAGTGCCCAGAAAGTGCTAGGTTTTATGTTTTAATGGCCAGTAAATAAGCAACAGAGCTGTTTTCAGTGTTGCGGGTTTCTAGTGAGCATATGACTAGCAGGGTAGGCAGCAAGAAGCCCTGATCTGGCGTGTGGCCCCAAGCTCACTGCGGCATCCTCCTGAGGCCAACGACTGTACAAGAACACCCAATAGAAAGTTGATAATAATGAGATCAAGGAGAAGACGTACCTCAGGGTATTATAGCTCAATGCAGAGTCTCCATTCTTCTAAGGTCACTTCAGGCTCATTCTATAGACTACTCATATTCTAGACTCCCTAAACAAAAAAAAAAAGTTCTTTTATATCCTGTGACAGATTTCATGATAATCCAAGGAAAGCTGCAAATTAAAATAAAAGTAAGAAAATTCAAATAATTCAACCTATTTAACCCTTAAATACAGTTCACTAATCTACTGTTATAGCGGGAATTATGGCAGGACTTTCAGGTCCAATAGGTTTGATTATGTGAAACTTATTGGGTTGTCAAGTAATCGCCTGTATTTATTAACTTAAGTTTCCATACTCTACTAAGGAATTCGTAGGAAGAGCCCCTACACACACACACACACACACACACACACACACACACACACACACACACACACACATTTACACACACCCTACCTAGTGGAATTTCTACAGCAGAACACTATAAACCGGTAGATGGGCCCTGTTTTATGAGACTCGGTCACCAAGTTGATGATGTCAAGTCCTTGCTCTTTCATACGATGCTAGTAAAGACCGGAAATGGAAATCCTGAGATCATAGGTGAAACATTTACAAGGTAAAAACACTGCAAGGTGAAAGTTTCATGCGCCTCAGTGAAGAAATTATTCACCTTGGATCATATTTTCCATTTGAAATATTTTTAGTCTCTATTTCTCTAAGGTTCTACTCTAGGTGCTAGAAAGTTGTGTCTATCAGAAAGATAGACTTTTTAATTCCTCTCTATTTCACTAGTGAAACAAAGAATTTATAGAAGAGTCATATCCAAGGAATTTAAAAAGTACTGATTCTCCTGAGGCCGGCCTTGAACTCTGCAGCACAATGCAAATCCTAAGCGAATTAACACACATCAAACCTACTTAAAAGAGAACTAAAATATATCTAACAGCTCAGAGGTCATTAAACTATGCACCATTTTCACCAGTGGAAGTTTGGCCCAGGTCACAAGTCGTTATTCTAAAGAACAAGGACCAAAGATTAAGTCTCCCCTAGAAGTCACAAAGATCACACAAGAGCAAAGACCAGGATGTTGAAAGGGAAGGGAGCATAGAGCTGTAGGTATCATGATGTCCTATGCTGAAAATAATTGGAAAGAAAGAAGATTTGTCTGGCAGTACCAGATTGCCTGCTTAAAAGAAAAAAAAAAACTATTAATGAACATTTAAATAAAAATGAGTGTCCCCAAGTATTAGAGTTGCTTTAGAAATTCAGTCTTGGTGCACTCTACTGAAACATAAGAAGAAGGGTCTCATTTGTTGGTCTTTTTAAAGACTGTCAGAGTCTTCTGTTTCATGAGGAAACACTCCACCTTTTTTCAAAGTATTTAACTAATTTCGTTTAATTCATCAATTTACACGTAGCAATGGGAGCTGAATTCAGCTGGATAGCTCTGTCGGACAAAGAATTGCTCAGGTACTTGCAATCAGTTCCTGAGTTGGCCAGATGGGAAGAAGGACCCACCGAGAGATGCCCACAGCCTAAGCTCTAGAACCAGCAAACATGCTACCTTATGTGGCAAAGACAAAGGAAGATTGGAGCTGGAGTTATGGTGTGCACTGCCTTATTTTATTTTATTTTATTATTATTTTGCAATACAATTCAGTTCTACACATCAGCCACGGATTCCCTTGCACTGCCTTATTTTAAAAATGAGATCACCATGAATTATTGGAGTGGCCCAGTGTAGTCATAAAAGTCCATAGAATGTAAAAGCATATAGAAGAAGAGCTCAGGGGATGTGATCCCTGAAGGATTCCCCCTCCTGCTATTGTTTTAAAGAGAGAAAAGGGATGCAGACAGTCTGTAGAAGCTCTCAAAGGTTCAGAAAATGATTCGCCTCTGGGCCTCCCCAAACCAACATTGACTTTAATCCATGAGGTCTACATTGGACTTTTGATGACAAAATGGTATTGCGTTAAATTATAAATTTGTTATAGCATCATCTAAGACCTGTACATCTTACTTTCGTAATTTTTCAAAACCAAGTTTACAAGTTTGAACAATGAGGACCAGAAAGACAGCTCAGCAGGTAAAGGCACTTATCACCACACCTTATAAACTGAATTCACTCCCTAAGACCTACATGGTGGAAGGTGAGAACTGATCCTGAAAGTTGTCCTCTGGCCTCCATATACAAGCCACAGCGCATTTGGACCCACCCACGTACACACACTAAGTGAATGAACATAATAAAGCGACTTATAGTATAAAGGTTATCAGGTTATCTGAAACAGTACTGTTGAATAGTAATATATCGGGGTCACAAATATTATACAACACAAATATAATAGAACAACATTAATAAAAGTCAAAAGAGCCCACTATAGTAGCCCAAGCCTGTAATCCTAACACTTAAGGGGTCAAGATAGGAAGATCCAAAGGTCTTTGCAACATTTTAAGATTCTATTCTATTCCTACAAAAATAAATAAGTAAAATAAAATTAAAAAGTGAATAAATTTTAAGCATCCATTTTTCTTAACCCAATGTATCCAAATATTTGTGTTGCAACATTTAAGTAGAATATTATTAGTCAGATATTTTACAGTCATTTTTCATGTCCAGCCCTAAAAGTTTACAGTATGTTTCATGCTTGGAACATCTCAGTCTCTACAGACTCTTTTAGACTTCAGAGTGGATAAGTGGTTAGAGTATCAAAATATTTCAAGGAAAGCCCGGGTACAATTGTAAAATGATACAGTCCTATCCATAATGCTGCTTATCTGGCTTCCCTCCACTGAGGAAACCTCCTACCTTTCTGCTTTCCCCTTCGGGGCCCACATGAAAATCCATTCTGAGCAGACAGCCCAGCACCAAATCTCCCAAAATGGCACTTACTAGAGCTTGTAACACTACTCCCTCCGAGTTTCAGATTCCTCTCTGCTGCCTCCCTTTTAAGTCAGCATAGAGTTTTTATGAAGTTCAAGGGCAATGACATGTTAAGGCATTGTGCGATGCTCAGTACGGTAAAGACATCATTTAAAACATTCGCTTTAAAAGCTAAAATTCAGCAGTGGTGGCACATGCCTTTAATCCCAGCACTCGGGAGGCAGAGGCAGAGGCAGGCGGATCTCTGTGAGTTCGAGGCCAGCCTGGGCTACCAAGTGAGTTCCAGGAAAGGCACAAAGCTACACAGAGAAACCCTGTCTCGAAAAACCAAAAAAAAAAAAAAAAAAAGTTAATAAAAGCTAAAACTCTCTTGCTTTTTAAGTCATATAGGCCAGGGGAAAGTTGTGCCCCATATTTAAAAACAGATTCTTTTAAGTTTTCCATGTACCAGTTTCCACCTGTCTTTGTTCCCTCTGAAGAGAATGGATGAGGTGTGCAAAGAGAGAGGAAAGGTGAGGCAGACGACTTCCTGAGAGATCCCTGATACTTCTAGCATCATCTCTTTTAACATGGTAAAAACAACTTAAAAAAAATCATATTTTGAGTATCCAATCAGGATTATTTATAGGTAGTTTCATTCTGAAAACCTTGTGTGAAAAACAGATTTAGGACTAAATTGTTTATTTAGTTTATATTTTCTTTTGAAGCCAAGAAGCATGGTGATTTCCTAAAGTTGGAAAAAACTATAGTCAAAGCTAAATATGAAAAATGAAAATCAGTAGAAAGGGAAAAATTCATAAGTAATTGACTGATTTTATAAGGGCTGATAGTTTTTCCTTTCATGGTAGACAAATGTAAATAGTTACATGATACCATTATAGCTCATACTGACTTAGTAAATCACTGCTTTCCCAGTGGAACAAAAATACACAATTATTAGCTTCCCAGAAACTGGATACAATGTTGGCAAATTCGACAAAATATTACTTTGTAAGAGTGTTACTTGATATTTCAAATACAGAAGCAATTGCAAACATTGTCTTTGGCCTTCAGCCCATGGGGCTGGGTATCACCTATGCATCTGGCAAATTCAATGAGAAACAGCAATGGCTGAATATGTGAGTGGGCCCATGGGCCACCTGGGTACCTGGTCAGACACTGGAATGTTGAAATTACTTGCTCTATGGGTCTCTGAGGATTGCTGCAACAAAGCACCACAGACCTTAAAATGACAGAAATGTACTATCTCAGCTCTGCAGCCTTGGAAGCTCGGCACCATAGCTTGAACAGAACTATGTTCTCTCTAAAGTCTGCAGGGCAGACTTTCCTTGCTTCTTCCTGGCTTCTGGAAGCTTGTGGTGACATAACCCCAAGGTGTCTGCCTTGCACCTTGAGTGGCCTTCCCCTCCTGTGTCTGCATCTGCAAATGGCCATTTTCTTAAAAGGACTTTAGTTACATGGGGTGAGAGGCTATTCAATACTCAAGTATTGAAGTATTGAGTATTGCCTCTTCCTGATGAAGTACATCTGTGAGGACCTTATTTCCACACTCATTCTGGGGGTTCAGATTTTATATTTCTGGTAGTAGGCAGAGGAGGACACAATTCAATCCATAATAACTGGTTCCTATGATGTTGGAATAAAACAGTTATGAGCAATGTCATAGAGGTAGTTAGAGAAAGGGATTCTTAATTCTTATCATCCTTGATGAAGCCAGATGAATGTAAATCCTTCCTTCACTGCTGAGCTAGGATACCAGCTCTTACTCTTTATGTCACCATTTTGTTTCTGTCTAACAGAGATAACAGTAGGTCACCTCACAAGACCTATGGCAAGGGAGTGAAATTCCTAAACAATGCCCACCCACATTGGAGCACTACAGAAGTGCTTGCTAGTCCGAGAAATATCTATTTTACTATAAACAAAAAGATCTATTATCTCTGATAAAAAAATTATCTACTTCACCATAAAAACAAAATAAGAGAACACAAAGTTCTCTTATTTTAGAGCCCACACTTAAAGACTAGTTTTAGTGGGCTAGATCACACTCATCTATGATGGGGAGATTACATCACAGTATTCTTTTTTAAAATATGTTTGTTGGGTCGTTGTTTTGGTTTCTTGATCCAAATAGCTCTCTCCTTTCTTATCTGAAACTCTGTTTTTCACAGAGTCAGTGTGTTTTCTGGTTCTTTTTTTTTTTTTTTTTTTTTTTTTTGTGTGTGTGTGTGTGTGTGTGTGTGTGTGTGTGTGTGTGTGTGTGTTTTCCCAGTCTTATTGATATTGTTCTTTTTCTTTTAAAACCCACTCTTGCCATTTAGTTTAAGAAATGCAAACTGACAAACTTGCACAGAGCAGTCTTGCCACACCTACCAGAATACCAGAATTGCCACTTGTCTCATTGCTACAACAAAATACCAGCACACATAGCTTCAGGGAGGAGGCTTTGTTCGGGCTCAAGGTTCCAGGGGACAAGGTCTATCACGGCAGGGAGGGTAAGGCAGCTGGAGCAGGAGGCAGCTGCTGGTCACATGAAATCCCCAGAAAAGGAGCAGAGAGCATGGGATGCTTGTGATGAGCTTGTTTCTCCTCTTCACTCAGTCTGAGACTCATCCGTGGAATGGTACATCCACAGTTAGAGTGGGTCTGCTGCCTACATCAACTGACTCCAGATAGGCCCTCAGAGACATGCCCAGAGGTGTGTTTTCAAGGTATTTCTGGATCCCATCAAGGTGACAATCAATGAAAAAACCCCCATGCCTATCAAAAGCCTTAAAAAAATATATTGACCTGGTCATTTCCTTTACTTTTAAATTTTCTAAGTATATAAATTGAATGCAAGATTCTGCTGTGATGATTTTTAAGTATCACAATCATGTCTATTATAAACTATGAAACACATTTTTACAAAAACTTTTTAAAAATCATGGCAGATTAATGTGATCAAATATGTACTCAAACACCAAAAATTGCATTTGAGGTGATCTTGGACAATAAAACACAAGCATGATTGCCAAGTGATATGAGCACAAAATACTACATCTTACACAGTATTCTACAACCTCACACAGTGATACAAATGCTCTATATATGGTGTCTGGCATGGTAGGGCTAGCCATCTACGGCAACCACCCAACTTGAAATAAGGCCGCCAAAGGAGCTTAGTTTTAAAGCTTGTTTCATTGTTCATCAGTTTCAATGATTATATGTGGCTCACGGCTTCCATAGAGAACAATGAAGGTCTACAGTACCTCTTACTAGTCCTCTGTCCCTTCTTCCTTTTCAAGTCTCTCTACGTCCTTGTCACCCCTCAGAAATCACATTACATGTAATATTCTCCCTCTGCTTTTTATTTCTTACTCACTATGTTCCTTTCTCGGGATATAACCAACCTAATGAGTGACCCCATTCAACACACGACGAGACGTAAGGGGCTGCTGAGTGAGTATTTTGAATACTCCTTATCCAAAATGCCTGGGACCAGAAATCTTGGGAATTTCAGTCATTTTTTCAGATTTTTGGAATATGTACACATACATAATGAAGATATCTTGAGTTAAGACGCAATACAAAATTCAGGATTCACTGAGCTTCTCGTGCTCCTTATTCACATAGCTTAAGGCTAATTTCAGATTATTTCTAGTGTACCTATGTTTCCACAGTGACCTGCCATGTGAGGGAAGCTGTGAAGTTTTCCAATGGTGGCATCACATTGGTGCTTAAGATGTTTTAGGTTCTGAAGTACTTCAGATTTGTGTGTGTGTGTGCGTGTGCGTGTGCGTGTGTGTGTGTGTGTGTGTGTGTGTGTGTGTGTGTGTTATACATATGTGTGTACATGTGTCACACAAAGGCCAGAGGACATCAAGTGTCTTGTTCTGTAACTGGCTTATTCCTTTGAGACTGGGTCTCTCATTGAACCTGGAGCTGAGCTGGTGGCCAGAAATCTTCAAATGACATGCGTGATTTTGCTCCCTACAGCACTGGGGTTCAAAGTATGCATGTGACTACTCCAGGCTTTCTATATGGGTCCAGGGATCAAAATGGGGTTCTTTTTTTTTTTTTGGTTTTTTGAGACAGGGTTTCTCTGTGTAGCTTTGTGCCTTTCCTGGGACTCACTTGGTAGCCCAGGCTGGCCTTGAACTCACAGAGATCCGCCTGGCTCTGCCTCCCGAGTGCTGGGATTAAAGGCGTGCGCCACCACCGCCCGGCCAAAATGGGGTTCTTATACTTGCCAGGCAAGAGCTTTCATGAACTGTGCCATCTCTCCAGCCTCCAAACTTGTATTTTTCAGGTTAGGGATGTTCAACTAGTACTCGTTTATAAGTATTAGGAATTTTACCAAAATTTGAGCTATTATTAAAATTCCATTAGAATTTTAATATATTAACGTGACCGTGAAAGCAGTAAATGAAGCAATTTTTGGCCAGGCTATTGGACACCTTCCATACACACATCTCACAACGTTGAGTATTACTCTGAGGATAAGCCCTTAAGTGAGGACAGCAAAGGACTGTAGACTGCAGCGTGGGCTGAGTTTCTTAACCACTTCCAATACTTCTAGTGGTGATTCTTGAGGAATGTTGATAGGAGGATGTCATCTATCTATACACACTTTTTGACTTCTGTCTCCCAACTTGAATATCTTTATTCCCTTTCCTATATAATTTCTCCATGTAAAATTTGTAAATTCTAGCCAATGGTAGGAATAGAGCTTTTATCCTGTTCAAGATTTTTAATGAGAAAAGTTTCAAGTCTTTCACTACTGAGGGTACGACACACAAATTTGCCAAAAGGCTGCAATGTGGTCATCTTTACAAGATGCTCCCTTGCTAGCTGCTCATTTTTGAAAACTAAATGCTAGTTATTATGCTGAGAAAGTTCTCTCATAATCATATTTTTCCTGAGAGATTTTTATAATAAAAGAGTGTTGGACCAGGTCAAGCTGAATTACTTCCAGGTCATTAGCAGCTGCTAACAGCAACTAGCATTGAGCTTTACACAGTCAATAGTTTAATAAGTGTTTGCTGAGTTAAACTTACCTGAAAACAACAAACCCTAAAAACCTAGAATCGCATATCAAGACACATTCTTTGAATAAATTACCCCTAGATATTTATTTTTGAAAGGATTGGCTTCCCCTCCCCACCTTCCACACAAGCCATATAATTCATAAAATAATATAAATAATCAGTTACATTAAATAAAATTTAAATTTGGAAAAGACCAACTCTGACACCTGGCACCTTTAGTAAATGTAGTTGTCTAAGAACATTCCTGAGCTTTAACAGGCTTCATCAAAGGGAAGACTGAGAACACAAAACCTCTGTCTGAGACCTTCTATACAGGAGATCTGTTACCTCGGCCGCCCAGGCCAAATATAAAAGGTTCCTCGACAGCTTGATACTGAATTTGAATATCACAGAGTTTCCTCTAATTAGGTCATTTGATATATATTTTTAAAGTCTATCAACAGAAGAGTAACATTCTGCAAAGGGGCTCTGTGGCTTCCACCAGAGGTCTATATTTTCCCTCCTGGGTACATCTGTGGTATTTCTTGCCAGGTCTGATGGCCCCAGGTATGTTATTTTCCTTTCAGGCATCTTAATTGGACTTTGCTGATGAAAAAAAAAAAAAGTCCACAAGGAACATGCAGTACAAAATAATATTTGTCTCTGATGTGGTAGAAATAGAAAATTACACAAACAATTTGGGAATTATAGGTTCATCACCGCTGGGGTGAAGAGTTATAGACCATTTCTCACCCTCAATTATCTACTGGTTCCCAGTTGCGCACGAGCCAAATACTTGGTTTCTGTGCATGTTTCTCTGACTTGCACTGCCTAAGACTGAACACTCAAGAATGCCAGCCGGGAACAACACTGGCCAGGTTTGTGGTGAATACCTTTGAGGGCAATAATATATGTTTACATGTAACTCATAATTAATCACTAAACTTCCTTTTGGAAAATAAAAACACATTTCAGGGTATATTTTACTGTCTGGGGGGCAAGAAATGACAGGAAAAGAAGAGAAGAGAAGCAAGCAAACGTGGAGGGGGGAATGATTGAAAACATTTGACTTGGCTTGAAATAAAAGTACATATTTCACACATATTTTTAAAACAACCCCAGAAGACAGCCTGACTTCGAACACACTGAACAGGAAGGTATTTACTGTTGGAATGCTTGCTGAGCCCTTCCAAAATACACATTCTTAATACCCCCAGGCTATCAAAAAAGAGTTGGGGTGAAAATATTTAATTTGTATGTGCAATCCTTCTTCCTGTTTTAACCCCGCTGCTCCCCCCACACACACATACACACTGCCAACTGTGTTTTTCAAACGTTGTGAAAAATGATAGGAAATGGTTTCATCCCCCGGCCCCCCTGTGTTGACCCAGCTGTACATTTTACCTCAATTTATAGCTCACCTGGCTTGAAGACCAAAGAGGGAGAAAAAAGGTAAAGATGGCTGTTAAACACTCGTGGTTGCTGTGGCTCAAAAAGAATCTGGGTGGAGGAAAACTGGCCGTGGTATGTATATCAAGGGCACGAGGGTGTGGAGCAGGGTTTGCCTTGGCCCTCAAAACGTGTGCATTCAGTAGCAAGCTTTCAAACCAGGTACAGGGGTGGGCTAGAAAGGCAAAGGAAAGAATTTTCTCAGCATCAGATGAGTGACTGAAAATACCTGAATCTTATAAAATTTCCAAATAACAGTACTAGTTCTTTCAAGAGAAACTTTAAAAGTATTATAAGGATGGGGGGAGAGTTAAATGAATTAAGATTCTAATCCAAGCAAAAGTTCTCCCCCCAAACTTTAACTATATTAGAGTGCTTCATAACATGGTTTGACATGGAAGATATATCTTCCAAATGAATTGAGTTCCAGGTGGGTGCGCTTTCCATAGCATATCTGCTTCCTTGTTGTTATATTTTAATTTCTTAAGAGTCAATGAGCAATAAAATATTTGAAAGAGAATTTGACGCCAAGTGGAAATCCAACAAGTTGGAAGTTCAGATTTCAAAACTTTTGAATCCAATCTAATTTTGCCAGAAAGTTGACCACACCCTCTGGAAATCCATCTCAAGAAAGGCTTTGTAACTGAGTGGTTTGTTTTAAATACTTAAGGAGAAAATCTGTAAATACCTCAACTCCAATAAGTATTTCAACATTTTGCCTCTGGCTACAAAGCTGTATTTCAAGTTTCCTTCCACATCAGAACAACATCCTGAGCACAACACTATCCTTGGACATTCTCTCTGCCAACAAGGGCTTTACGGTCCTTTAATGTCTGGGAAACTAGTCTGCATTAAACTTAAAGCAAGGTGATATGCCACTTGGACCTTGCTGTGCAAACATCGATGTGCTTAGGAATATGGCGCCTGTGTCTTTTGTTAAACTAGCTCTCAGAGATTATGAGTGAGAAATGTGCTAACATCAACTTTTACATGTCAATCTGTGAAGTCTTCAAACACTGCATGGACACAGATGGACACCATGTTGATCCTGGGCCATCTTGCAAGAGTCCACATTAATTTTTATCCTTGTAACACATTCTCACTAGGGATTCTTTTAAGAGAGATCATGAGAAAGTAGATTGCTGATATGTTTTAAGATTAAGTTGAGTAAATCATCAGTTCTGCAGTACATTCCAAACTTCACACTGGCTGCCTGCAGTCACCATTAAGACTGTTGTCTTGCCTGGTTCTTACCCTCTATGTGATGAATCTGCTGTTATGATCAAGCATCCAAGTCTAATGATATGCTGGTACCATGTCCTTTTACTTCCCTGCCTTCAAAACCATGAACAAAACAAATGATTTATTCTATAAACCAAAAAGAAACTATTGGTACAAAATCTCCAGGAACAATTCTCTGCCTAGGTTTACATCTCTTGATACTATACACCATTGCAATATTGGATCCAGCCACCTGTGAGTTATGTCAACCAGTGTGCTTAGAGTGAACTAAATCTCAGTGTGGAAACTTAGTCTTTTCCAATTTCAATGATACAGTTGCCACAGTTTTGGTCAACTTTAAGGTAGTAAGTCGAACATTGACAGAATATTAAACAAGGTGCATATATCAACCTAACCTACTACAGTCCCAACAGCATGTCAAAAGGGGGACATTCCAGAATTTCAAGAGGGGCTATCCCTCCATCTCAAGTGTACCTGCACTCTTGAAGACTTATGTTCTAGGTTGAATGAGGATCAAGCCAAAAAAGCCTGAGGTGTGGTGATATTGCGTCCCCCATTATATTGTGCACCCTAATAAACTTATCTGGGGTCAGAGAACAGAACAGCCACTAGATAGAGAGGCCAGAAAATGGTGGCACACACGCCTTTAATCCTAGCATTCTGGAGGCAGAGATCCATCCAGATCTCGGTGAGTTCAAAACCACACTGGAAACAGCCAGGCATGGTGACACATGCCTTTAAGCCCAGGAAGTAATGGCAGGAAGCAGAAAGACATACAAGGCGTGAGGACCAGGAACTAGAGCCTGGTTAAGCTTTTAGGCTTTTAGCAGCAGTTCAGCTGAGATTCATTCGGATGAGGACTCAGAGGCTTCCAGTCTGAGGAAACAGGATCAGCTGAGGAATTGGCGAGGTGAGGTTAGCCGTGGCTGCTGTGCTTCTCCGATCTTTCAGCGTTCACCCCCAATACCTGTCTCTGGGTTTGTTTTAATTAATAAGACCTTTTAAAATTCTTGCTACACTGAGGCTTGAAGGCTGGGATCAACTATGGGCAAGTACCTACACCTTGGATACTGAGCTTTCTTCTCTTTCTCTTCCTCTTCCTCCTTCTGCATCTCCTTAACCCGGATTTCACACAGCAAAGTGTGTATCTCCCTAGGGTGCTCCATAGGCACTGCTGTCCTCTTCGCTTCCACTGTTCCCTTCTCCCCTCCAGGTCTTCTTTCTCTCAGCCCCACCTCTTTCCAGTAATGACGCAAACTACACCTGACTCAGACTTTGGCTGCCACAGAAAGCATCCCCAGTTCAGTCCTCCACTCTTCTCCTCTGCCAACCCCCTCTCACCCGAGATTACCACTCACTAATGCAGGCTGGGCATTATTGCTTTTCTCCATGAATTTTTTGAGGTACAGTCTCTTTGCTGAGGTAGAAAGATCTGTAGCTTGCCCTGTCCCCATGCCTTCCTTCTTCTTAGCTGAGTCCCTTTAGGCTCCTCCCCTTTGCCATATTGCAGTGTAGGCCGGTAGGAAATAATAGTCTCTCTACCTCAAACATTCACTTCTGGTATTTTTAAATATAAAGGTCACTTTAAAGCCAAGAAAGTATTCAAGCCCTTCTATTGGGTAACTAAAGCTACCCTACTGGGAGAATCGCTGATGTGATTTGTATTTTTTGGATCCCAGCCTCTTGCACATCTGAAAATTACTCTGTGCATGGCTGGATTAGATGGCCTGTGTGATGACTAGCTCGTTGCCAGTACATATAAGAACAGAGTATGTGTTAGCTATGGTTATTGTTGAGATGTTGGTCTTGCTCCAGTTAGCTCATAACCACTGAATGATCTTGACCCTTACAACAGAGCCATGGGAGCGGTCACTTTAAAACCCGTATTTGATCAGGCTGGAGATACAAACTGACTTAAGCTTTATACTGTTTTCCCACCAATAAGAATAAAATACCAATTTGTTACCTAAGACTTCAAAGGCCTGTATGAGCTAACTCCTATACAACTTGCTAGCTCTCTGGGTCCTCAGATGTTCTAGACTCTAGAAGACTTCTTGTTCTCTTCCACCAGCAAGTGACTAACTTTTTCCCAGTCATTACTCATGATTTTAGATAAATCGGCTTCAAAGAGTCCTTCTGTATTCACCAAGTTTAAACAGCCATCTAGGCACTTTGTGTTAATTTATTTTTCCACATAGCAATTGTATGATTATTAGATATTTACATTTATATATTTTATGTTAGCATTTAAATTTGATTTAATTTTAATACAAATAATAAAATAAATAATATTATTTTAAATACTAAAAACAATATATGTGATATAATAATAAGTATATGATCTTTTTTATTTTAATTTTACTGGGGCTTGCAGTTAAGAGATTGAAAGATCTCAAAAGAGACTTTGAACTTTAGATTTTTAAATAAGTTTGAAACTGTTACAGACTATGGGGATTTTTCCAGTTGTATTGAATGCATTTTTGCGTTATGCTATGGCTACAAGTCTTTGGGGGCCAGGGAGCAGAATGTGGTGGTTTGTGGAAGAATGTGGTAGAATGTGGAAGAAAATGATCCCGAAAGGAAGTGGCACTAATGGGAGGTGTGGACTTGTTGGAATAGGTACAGCCTTGTTGGAGGAAGTGTGTCACTGTGGAGATGGGCTTTGAGGTCTCATATATACTCAAGCCATGTCCAGGGAGACAGCTCACTTTCTGTAGATGTAGAACTCTCAGCTCCTCTCCAGCACCATGTCTGCCTGCATGTAGTCATGTCCCACCATGAAGATAATGGACTAAATCTCTAAAACTATAAGCCACCCAATTAAATGTTTTCCTTTATAAGAGTTGCTGTGGTCATGGTGTCTCTTCACAGCAATAGAAACCCTAAGACAGTATATTATATAGTAGCTATATTAACTCTATAAATAAAACATAAATATATAAATAATATAAATAACATTATTTTAAATAGTAAAAAATAAATATTATAAAAATAGTAAATTAACATAATTTTATTTATTGATATAATTTATTTTATTTGATAATATATTTTAGATAACTTGTTTTATTTATTTATATATCTTTCATATATTTATATTTCATATATGCATTTTTATATATGCCCTCACCACAGCATAAGCATCTCTCCTATCTTTTCCAGCATTGGATGCTTGTAGCACCTGATTTGTAAGACATTTACTTTAGTCTCCATAGAAGCAAAGCAATGATGTATGTGTTGTTGTTATTCCTTGCAATATATCTTTCAACTCTATCCTATCTATAGCACACTACATTAAATGGTATTTCCTCTGAAATCTAACAAATCATTATCCCCACCCAACAATTTGAAAACCATAAGAATAGTTTCTACATTGCAAATTCTGCCAGGCAGTTCCTGTGGCCAATTACTATTTTCTCAGCATAATAGATAGCCACAAGATCTACCTTCTGGGGCTCCAATCTTGACACCGTCAGGATTCACAAATTGAGTACCTCATAATAAAAATGATAAGGCATTTACCATAAAACCCACTGGCTGAAGTCTGGAATTTTAGCATCTTAAGTATCCTTATTACAGCATATGGACTGATTCACCTCTAGTTATGGCAGTCAATGAATGGGGAATGAAGAAGAACAAGAATTATTTTATATTAATGGGTTCTCTGAGTTACAGTGATAAGACATCTCACTCAACCTAGTAGAATTGAAATCAAAGTCACGGAAGCTCTTGGTTGAGCCACATTAAATGTCTAGTCAGTTGCTGGGGAGATGATCATTTAATAAAGTGCCTGCTACGCAAGAAAGAGGACCCAAGTTTGGATGCCCAGCAGCTACAGAAAAGCCTGGCACAGGCTTCTTCAAATAACCTTATCTGGGGCTGGGCATAGGCAGGTCCTTGAAGCTTCTTGACCGGCCAGCCTAACCAAATAAAGGAGCTACAAATTCAGTGAGAAACCACGTCTTGAGAAATAGAGTGGAGGGGGCTGGACAGATGATGATGGCTCAGCAGTTAAGAGCACTGACCGCTCTTCCAGAGGACCCAGGTTCAATTCCCAGCACCTACATGGCAGCTCACAACTCTCTTTAACTCCCGTTCCAGGATATCCAACACACTTACACAGAGTATAGACAGGCAAAACACCAGTGTATGTTAAATGAATGAGTGAATAAATGAATGAATGAATGAAATAGAGTGGAGAACAGTCGAAGAGGATGCCCTATGTTGACCTCTGGGCCTCTACCTGTTCATGCACACACATGCATGGTGCACATACCCACATAAAAAAACACATATAACACCCCCCACACATACACACAAATACACACACATATAAAAAATGTCTAGTCATTCTACTGAATTGCTTTTGCTGAAACTACTTTGGGTAGAAAGCGAGTTCCTCTCTAGCACCCATTGTATAATTGGCAAAAAGAAAAAAAAATGAGAACAAATAATATCATAAAATGTGTTTCATAATAAATGTGAATTCCCCAACTGGTTTGACTACTACAGACATCAAGCGACTGCCAACGAGTGACAAGAGAGACTAAGAATTTGGCAAGAGCAACCAATCCATGTGGACTGGCAAGAGAGACGCTTAATGGAAATGAGAGGAAGAGGGGGGGAAAAGTCGCAAACAGAAAGAGAACATTGAGAGGCAGTCCTTGGGTGCTGTTTCGTGGACTGTGTCTTTCCCCAAGTCATGGGACCAACTGTAGCTTTAGTTATGATGTTTCACTTATCGACCTTGGTGGGGGGGAGCAGAAGTCTGTCCGTGCCCCAGTGTTAGTCAGAGGACAACTTGTAGGAGTTGCCTGATTCTTTCCATCATGTGGGTCCTGGGGATCAAACTCAGATCATCAGGTCTGGTAGCAGGTGTCTCTACCCACTGGACCATCTTGCTGGCCCACAGTTATACTTCCTGTTTGTAGTTTCTGTATGTGTGGATGCTATGTTTGGAATTGAAGTGTCTGAAAGGTGGCACAACCTTTTAAGAGATGGGTTAAGGAGGAAGGAAGTGAGGCCAGTGGAGCCAGTCCTGTGACAGGTATATTCTGACGCCCTCACCTCCTTCTCTTTCTCTTGTTTTCACTGCCTACTTCTTAGCTGCCGTGAGGTGAGCAGCTCTGTTCCATCGCATGTACGCACCATGATGTTCAGCTCCACCACAGCTCCAAAACAACAGAACCAACTGACCACAGGCTAAGTGTTGATGTTCTGGGGGGATGTAGTCACAGCCCAGAACTCTAACAGCACAATAACTGGAGTCGTCTGACAAATTCCTAGAGGGCTGAGTACAACCCATCCCATACACGTTTGACTCTTAACCAGATACTTCATTCTCAAAGACCAAAACAGAGAGGGCACCTTATGAAAGGATGGAAAGGGACCGTGTGAGTCAAATAAGATGCATTCTGCACTTTAAGGCGTTTACGCAGTGAAATAAAAGAGGTCACAATCCTTAGAAGCAGACATCTTTAAATGGCTTTGGCCACTGTGAGACACAGAGATAATGAAAAGCAGGGAACAGCCTTGTATGCTCATTCCAGCATTGAGAGTCCTGGCTAAAAGGATGTCAAAGTTGATACTCCTCTTCTTCCACAAGCTACGGCACATGAGCGGTATCCCTTAGAGTACAAACAGCCACGTTCACGTGCCCAGGGACCCCGCTACGCATCTCAAGGCTCGAGAAGCATCACATGAAGTGGCATTGCCACGGGAAATGGAACTTTGAAGTTTCTGCTTGTGATCTATCAGGAGAAAAGAATGGCAATGGGATTCTAAGTCTTCTCCCTACAAGAGACTACGATCTATTACAAAAACCAAACTACGATATCTCACGAAGCTTGTCCAGAATAACCCCTGTTTCTGCTCCTGTCCTAAGAGCCAGAATCAAAACACAGAGCCAGACACAAAGGAAGGATACTGAGGGTGAAAATTTGATTTCCTGAGTGTGCAGGAGGGCCGAGCAGAAGAAAGGGGGGTTAGAAAAGGTCTGAGAAGTTCTCCGCCTTGATTTCTGACACAAAAAGAATCACTCTGAGTTGTTCAAAGAAACACGGGAATGTAAAATTACAAAAGCAAAGTGGTGGATGTGGGAGGAAAATAAATACTTCAGAAACAGTGTGATACGTACTTCCAAAATAAAAGGCCATTTTAATCACTTAGCATATTATTGAGAAGAGTCCCTTATACATAAGGAAAAGCAAGTGCCTTAGTTTGCTTTCTACTGCTGTGATAAAGGCAATGACCAAAAGTCAGTGGGATTGAAAGTGTTTATTTCAGCTTGGTCTTCCACATCACAGTCCATCACTGAGGGAAGTCATGGCATGAACTCAAGGAGGAACATGGAGTCGGGAGCTGAAGCAGGAATGCTGCTTATTGGCTTGCTCTTTCTTGCTCACTTTGCTTCATTTCGTTTGGTTGGTTGGCTGGGTGTTTTCTGTGTGAGTGCTTTGGGGAGGGGCTTATTTGCTTGTTTGTGAGGTAGTTTTTTTGTTTGTTTGTTTGTTTAAGAAAGGGCCTCATTATGTAGCCTTGGCTGGTGTGGAACTTGCTATGTAGAGCAGGCTGGCCTCAAATCACAGACATTCACATTTCTCTGCCTCCCAAGTACTGAGATTAGAGGCATGCGTCCCACGCCCGCAGCCTGCTCCCTGAGCATTTTTATACACCTCAAGGTCACCTTCCCAAGGATGGCACTGCTCATATCGCACTGGGCCCTTCCACATCAATCATCAATCAGGAAAATGTCTCTCGGGTTTACCGACAGGCCACCCTGATGGGGTACTTTCTCAGCTATGGTCCCTTCTTCGCAGATGACTCCCGTTTGCATCAAGTTGACACAAAAGAAGCACAAAGTCTTAGTTAATAAATATTTCTATGGCAATGGTTACCCACCTGGATGTGGTAGCACATGACTGTGATGCCAGCACCTGGGAGGCAGAGGTAGGAGAATCATGAGTTTGAAGACAGTTTGGATTATATAGTGAGACTCTATCCTCAAAACACCTAGGAGGAAAAGAAAGGTCATACAATATTAGACTTTCTCTCAAGTCACAATCAGTGCATACTTCAGATGAACTAGAGCTTGATAAAAAGACCAGAAGAAAACAGGGTGAGGAGACTGGAATCATTTGATTTTCTATACATAAAAGCTATATAAGACAGCCAGAGGAAAAGACCAGCAAATATAGATTTAATAAGCAAATACATGGACCACAAAAAGCACCCCTCTAATTTTTTTTTTCAAGACAGGGTTTCTCTGTGTTGTTTTGGTGCCTGTCCTGGGTCTCACTCTGTTTTAATTTAAGGAAAATAACTGCCCAAAATATGACAAATCACAAGTTGACATCCCGATATGCCAAGAATTTCTACAAAGGAAAAGAAATCAATGGACAATTTACCAAGGGAAGAAACATATAAAATATATTTGAAAATAATTTCTAAAATAGTATTCCAAGAAATGCAAACTGAAGTTAAGATTTATTGTGGTTTTGTTATAAAATGTTTTAAGTAATTATTCCAAGGGCTATGAATAGCACTGTGAAGTAGGTGAGTCCATAGACTGAAACTGGAAAGGAAAATCTTCCACTCTCTCCCAATGTCATTTAGTTACATACTAAATTCCTTGAACTCTGTAGTTCCACTTCTAAGGAAGTCTTCCTAAGGAAGACTGGCAGATAAAAAATTCACGGGGCTGAGGGTGCTACTAAGTAGCTGAGGATGTAACCAGCTAGCTTAAGATGTGCAAAATGTAGAGTTCAGTCTCCTGTACTGGTGGATATGAGCAGCTTTAAGTTTTATTGACAAAAATGAAAAATAGCCTACTAATATATGAATCATGCATAATGCTAATAATGTCCAGTGATTACTTTGCAAAAGGCAGTGTTCTAAAGGTATTAATCAATGGACGTCAACACATTTCATCTGTACAACAATCCTATCAATTGACTTTCAATCTCAGTTTAGCAGTGAGGTACAGACAGATTGGGTAAAAACAAAAAGCCAAGCAAAAGCATTCACACTGACTAGCCACAGAGCCCAATTTAAACTCTGGCAGTCTGAATCTGTGCCCTTGGTCTGTGTTTTGGTCTGATGTTTCTAACAAGAAGAATACAGATGAATAGGGGAAAAAATCAGTAGGAAATAATGTAAAGGGCAAAATGATCACCCTTGTCTAGTAGAATGCTAAGGTTTCATTTTCTTTTTCATACTTCCATGAACTTTATGACGTTCTAAAGATGTCACTTTTACAATCAGAAAAGAATAGTGTACCCTCACTTTTAAAGGACAATTAAAATATCAGTAAAATATTTTGTAGCTCTATGTGACAAAGTGTAACCTAGGTTGGAAATTCCAGATGTGTTCTAATGACTAGAATCATCTACACCCCATGCCTTGATACACTTTGCTACACCCTGGTTTCCTAATTGCTCTCCTAAATACTTCGGGTTGACACCTCCCACACCGATAACAGCGTGAAGGTTGAGGACTTAGACACCTAACATGACTATAGTAGTCCTTCCTTGTTCAGGTACCTGAAGCAATGCCTTTGACATGATGTCCGGAGCACAGCGGAGGACAGCCTTCCAGAGCACCACATCACATGGCCACAACTAAAGCCTCTGAGTCTTAGACCTTCCCTTCCCATCTATTGAGGGAAAGATTTATGAGGAGAAAATTAGACTTTTCTTCCTTTTAAGCTTTATTCTTGGCAAAGGTATTAAAACATTCCTATCTATAGCCAATGCTGTGTTTCTTTCAACTAGAACCCATTACAGTGTCAAGGAAGTAAACTGGCCCTTCAATTTCTTCCATGAAATTTAGATATAGTTTGGGCTTTGAACCCAGTTGGAAAATGTTGTTGCGTCGACGTGCTTTTCTTTGAAGTCTGAAACCATTAAAGACAGATGAAACATCTGTATTTGTACACACAAACCACCTCCGCTTACATAAAAACTGAGCGCATTTTTACATACATTATCCCACTCTGTCCTCCAAACATCCCTTGGCAGTAATAAAGATGCAAGCCCTGAGGCCATGGGGAAAATTTCAAAACAAAGTTAATTATGACTTACTTATAAACAAAAAGGGCCTGAAGTATTAAAGCTGCTCACATACCACAGAGTTTCAAAGGCTAAAGGCTTGACCACGAGGAATAAAGAGCAATGCACAAGTAAGTGAATGCAGGAATTATGGTTAGGATGGATTGCTATTTGGGGTCTGGCTGAAAGGTCTGTGTAAGGCATTGGCGATGCTCAGATGGTCCTCTCAGCCTGCCAGGGGAGAGTTCACATGCCCTGGAACCAAACTACTGCTTCTTTTTCTAGTGTCTCTGTGTCTCTGTCCTTGTCAAGGCTCACATCCCCTGAAAACAACATTCTAGCTAGGTGTGGTGGCTCATGCCTGTAATCCCAGCACTTAGGCTGAGGCAGGAGGATTGCTTGCATTATGGCATGAATTCCAGGCCAGTCCCTTCTATAGAATCCGACTTTATCTCAATAAAACATAAAACAAGCAATACCATAACAAAGATGCAAGAAAACCAATCTCTTCCTCTGAAACCTTGGATAAGAGTTTTAAAATCCACCGATCCGGTAAGGAGTGGGGTCTTCGGAGACTTCAGGTGACTTTACCACCTAGGTACATCACCTCAGCCAATCGTGGCCTCTAGACCAAAATAAGAATATTAATTTTAACTTCACACTGCATTTTGAATACAAAAAAAAATGGCTTAAAGTTTCTCTCTGACGTGCCTCAACAGAAAACAATCAGGGAAGCAGATCAAAGTGAGAAAGATAACAGAACACTCATCTTACTGGGAATATCGAGGACAGGGAGCCTGTCCTCTGTTCTCCGTAGTGTTTCTGTTCGGTGGACTATCACCCTGAAGGTTTCCACAGCCTCATCTCTCACTCCTTTCCCAAATCAAGCTACTACTGACACAATTCCAGGAACGCACCCTGCCAGCTTTTGCTGACAGCTGTGAGCGGGCACTTCCTTCCCCCTCAATCATCACCAACCAACCCACTGAGTCACAGGAGTCCCTCCCACCAACCACTGCCTCTCTGAGCTCCTACTATGTGCTGGCAGTATTCTAAATGCTTACCATATGTCACCTTAGGAGAGCCTAAAAACCTTTCTGTCGTTTTCTTTTATTACCGCTATTCCAGTCATAAAAAAAAAAAATTGAAAAGGACAATTTTCTCCAATATCCACTTCACATTAATTTCAGGTGCTGTTTTGTTTTGTTCTAGATCATAGTCATAACTGGTTTTTTTTTTTTTAGTATACCAGTTTCTTTCACTGTTACACTATGACCTGAAATGTCCTTGAAAAGGCAAAAATAGTCTTTCAGAATAGATAATGAAGATCAGGCAGGCAATACTTGAGGAGGAGATGAAATAAATATTCAAATAAAATGCTGACCTGGCCTCCCAAGTTATAGAAATTGGAACAAAGTGTCCTGAAGCATATCCTTTGGGTCATCAACCAACCTAGGAGTGGGTCTATCCAGAATCCTTGGGAAAAGCCCAGCTGATTCAAGTTGGTTTCCTTGACCTGATCTTAAAGAGTTTAATGAAAGGGAACGCCAGGAAGAAAATTAATAAAATCCTAATAATTTGACAAGTGCGTTGAGTTTAATATTAACATTGAAAATCCTTCTTAAACGTTGTTTTTTATTGTTTTTACTATTTTTTAGTATATTATTGTGTGTGCATTGGTGTGAGTATGAGCATCTGAGTGCAGGTGTCTGGGGAGGCCAAAGGTGTCAGCGCCCTGGCAGCTGGGGTTACAGGAAGCTGTGAACTACCTGCCGAAGGTGTTAGGATCCCAAGCTGGGTCCTCTGGAAGACCACAAGTGCTCTTAACCGCTGAACCATCATCCCAGCTCCTTCAGTGTGGACTTCTTACCAATAAATTTGCACAATTTTGACTATTATTTTTAAAATTTATTTTAGGAAAGTGTTTACTATAGGAACTTGGATAAAGAAAACATGGCGCATATACACAGTAAAGATGTATACAACCATAAAAAGAATGGATTATGTGGTTGGAAATAGATGCACATAGAGTTCATATATTAAGCAAAATGAGTCAGACTCAAGAAGACAAATATTTCATGGTTTCTCTCATTTGTGGGCACTGGATAAGACATAGATATGTAAGACCATTTATGTCAATTACATGGAAGTAAAAGGGGGAGTCTGGGGGACGTAGGAAACTAATGAGAGTTGGGGAGGATGGGGCAGAAATGGAGGGAGGGTATGGAAGATAAATATGGGCAAGCTACATGATACACTTGAAAAAATCCTTTATAAAACTACACTGTAGAATGAATAGACCCCCAACAAAAGTCTTAGTTAAAAGGAAGTACAATTTCTTAAGAAATTCCCAAACAATTGGGCTAACCAGCATTAATTATTTTATTAATTAATTATTATTTTACTAATTAATTTATTATGAAAATGTTTATATCAATTATATCTAAAGCAGAAGTTGGAATAATGGTAATTGGTGTTTTCTTAGCACTAATGATTAACTGCTATTACTCTGCGTAAAATAATAGTTCTTAACCATTCAGAGAGCACAGCACTTTGTGAATTTTGCTGTTCCCGGACGAGCTGGGCCTAGTTCCCATTTGCCAAGGTCACCCACCCCTCAAGGCTACGCCAGATGACTGCAGCAGGGGAGAGACACCTATGGATCCACGTACAGTCATACTTTTCACACTCAGATGATGTCCTAGATGCTTTCCTTTCTGTCTCAACCCATTCCTTTTCCCAAATTCTCACCTCTAGGGAACACCTCAATGCTTTCAGCTTCATCTCACCCCCATCCTCTCTCCAAAGGAAATGTGCCAAGCCAATGGCTTCCTGACCTCTAACCAACAAAAAGAAAGCAACAACAACAACAACACGGAGAAGCTGACTCCAGAAGCATTTCTAAGCCTTTAGACTTTACCCTGATCTCGAGAAAGAGCAATGCAAAGGAAGAAACCAAAATTG